CAGGAGGCTGGAGGCCAGAAGGGCTTGCTCTCTCCGTCTTAGCCTCTTTTTGTCTCTTTTCCTTTCCTAACCACTGGCCTTTTCCAGTGGGGACTTGTCGAAGGTAGTCGGGCACTGGACAAGCCTTGGAATATGATAGAGGAACATCTCATGAATCAGATGGTAGTGATTAAATGTTCTTTTCAAAATTCCCCTAGCCTCCCTCCGAGCTAGGAAAGAGTACAGTGGTTATAATTAGAACACTGTTATGGGTTGGAGAGATGGGAGAAAGGCTGCAAAGAGATTGATTGTATTGGTGCAGTGTGTTCCTGTTGAATGAATGTGGACAACTGGTCACAAATCTCTCAGAGGAGGATGGCCAAATGTAGGTCTGCCAGGGCAGTTCTAAATGTGCATCTCAGAGCTGTGTGTGTGTGTGTGTGTGTGTGTGTGTGTGTGTGTGCACGTGTGCATGCAGTGTGTCTTTGGACATGTGCTCAACAGTCTTCATCTGTAATATGAAAACTATTTGTCTATAAAGTCCATGACATTGATAGTCCTTTTCAGGCATCTGTGACTTTTGAATCTCTTTTCCACTTTTAGTCAGAATTTGTAATTGATTATCTTGTAGCTCTCTTTTAGACTTTATGGGAGTTCAGAGTCATTTTATATATAATTAAAATGTACATCATAAAAATACTACTTTTAAATAGCAAAATTTTTATACTGAAGGATAACTTAGAAATTATTGCTACATGTTCTACTTATAATTTTTGCACAGTAAACTTGAACTTTAAGCCTTAGATTTCTTTAATTTTTTTCTTAACTCAGAATTTGTTATAATGCAGTCAACCAGAAAGGCTTTAAAATGGCAGAAAGGTGCCTATTTTCTTCCCCAAATTCCATACAAATGAGAATAAAAGTTTTATGGAAGTCATTCTCAGGTCCTTGTGTTTTTAAACTGAGTTCTAAATTTTTGAGTATTTCTTTTTTTTTTTTTTTTTTTTTTTTTTTTTTTTTTTTTTTTTTTTTTTTTTTTTTTTTTTTTTTTTTTTAATTTTTTTTCAACGTTTATTTATTTGTGGGACAGAGAGAAACAGAGCATGAACGGGGGAGGGGCAGAGAGAGAGGGAGACACAGAATCGGAAACAGGCTCCAGGCTCCGAGCCATCAGCCCAGAGCCTGATGCGGGGCTCGAACTCACGGACCGCGAGATCGTGACCTGGCTGAAGTCGGACGCTTAACCGACTGCGCCACCCAGGTGCCCCGAGTATTTCAAATTTTCCATGAACTGTTTTTTTTTTTTTTTTTGGACCTCTTTCTTACTTTCTTATTGAATCATTTTATGATCTAAATGATTATTTCATCAGAAAAAGTTAACTGTAGTTATCAGATTTTTAGAAATTTTAACAATTTACTAACATCAATCTGAGTCTCTAGCAATTATTTTTAATTATTATTGATCCTGACTGTATTTATTTATACATTTTTATCTAGGAAATGATCATGGTTCTGCATACCCTTTAGGATTAGGAGGTTTGTAGAGCTAAAGGAAATAATGTGGACCATAAGCAAACTGCTCTATTAATGAAGGATTTCTTCTCAAAATTCTTAAGGTGACATAGTAAAGAAAGGTTAGCTTGATTTTTATCTACAATTTTTTGCCTGTTACAAAAATTCCTGGGTGAGATATGGTAATTGATAGCTAAATAAGAAAACTTGAAACTGATGGAATATCAATGCTACTGATTTATCATATACTCAAGATAGAGAGCACATTTTAATTTTATGAAGGCACATACCTAACTCTTTTCTGTATTTCCTTTTTCACTTACATGTGTATATCACAGTTCCTTGAACAAAAGTTCTCTCACTCCACTTATACAAGTTGAGAGACTTAGAACTAACATAGGGTTTTTCCCCTCTTTGTTCCAGAAGAATCTCTGGAATTGCACCAGAATTAGAAAAGCCTAGATTAGAATTCCTTGTAAGCCTATAGTAAAATGTGTGTGCTTCTGAAAATGTATTTGGTAAGTGTATGTAGGTTTCTGGAACATTGCAAGTATTTGGCTGAGCACTGATAAGATAACCTTGCTCTAGCCAGGAGCTCAGACTTCAAACAATTGCAGTACTGTAAGCACCTGCCATACTCAAACCACACCCTTCACTCCTCTAAATAGAACATCTTTCTATTTACTTCACAGTGATTGATAGGCTTCCCAGTCTATCACAGGGTTAGAGAAGTGAACAAAAATCAGGGAGGTGAACATATTTATAGTTGAAATATTTGTTGGCCTACCATGAAGGAAGAAGACCCAAAGGATAAAATTGTGGATACCTATGGTATCTCAGAGCAATTTAAAGAAAGGTTAAATTATATGGCATTCACTGGAAAATAATTTTCAATGAGTATGCAGGGAATTTTATCTGAAAAATATGTAAGCATGGAAAACATCTTTCAAAGTAAGGAAAGTGTTACTTTCCACGTAGTGTCACATAATAGGTACAGTTGTCAACTTTGTTTCTTCTATGACTTGGATAGCATATAAAGCATTTGGGGAGGGGGAACATAGGTATAATTATACATAGGTATAATTTTGAACAAATTTTTAAAATCAGAACATGTATGGAGTCTGAACGGAACAGACTCCTACGTATTTCACTCTAAATTACCTCTATGTGAATAAACTGATTTGCTAAAAATGGAATATTTCTTATTCTAGGTTGGCATTCTCCTGAAAGCTTGTTTTTAGGCCACATCCCTTTATGGTTTGTTGAATGATCAGAGAATATAAAAGTTAATAGATTACAGCCTTTTAGAATGGGGCACAGGTATAGAAAGGAAGGGATTAATTTTATATATATATATATATATATATATATATATATATATATATATATATATATATATATATATATATATATATATATATATATTAATTTTAGTTTTGATTTATATACATAAAAATTAGAAAAACATCTTTTGGGGGAGAATTATTTTAAAATAAATGGAGAATTGAGTTCTTAACGAATTATTTTTGGGAACGTTTTCATTTAGTACAGAAAAAGCAGAGCTTAGAATAGTTAGTGAAACGACCTAAATTCTGTTCACTAATTATAAACACCAGAATACCACCTTGTGTTTATATAGCACCTGTTTCTTACTAGGTGAGAGAACAATGACTTAGGGTTTTTGTATTTATTTGTTTTTGTTTTGTTTTTGGCTTTTATTTTGTAATATTAATGAATACTTGTTATGCATTTCTAGAGTTGGAACAGTGCTAGTCTCATTCATGTTTTACTAATTTGAGAATGAATTTAGAAGCATAGGTAACTCTACTGGCTTAGAAATGTCTCGTTTTCTCCAACATTGGTTGTTAGAACTACTCTTTTTATTTTTGGACTATCAGGTTTTTCCCTGGATTTTTTTCTTGTCAGAATCATTATTATTATTGTGGTGATTATGATTATGATTATTATTTCTCCTCCTCCTCCCATTCCCTTTTCTTCTCTTCTTCCTCCTCCCCCTCCTTCCCCAATACCTTCCCCTTCTTCCCTCCTCCTCCTCCCCTTACTCCTCTTCTTCCTCCTCCTCCTTCTCCTCTTCTTCTTCTCCTTCTCCTCCTCAACTGCTCACAAGTCATAGCTCAGTATTTCATTGAATTTTTTCTACACAAACAAAATTCCTGAGTATCACTAAATACAAAGTAGCCTGCCTAATTGACTGATTTTGCCGTTGAGACTCGGCAGCAATCACTGCCCTAACAGTCTACCGCTCGCTTGGTTCTATTTTGCCACAGAGGACATCTTACTAAACCATATTTCTCAGTGTTTTCAGACTCATTTATTCCACATAAAAAGCCATTGTATTTCTTGGAACCCTGAAAGTAAGGATTTTGTCTTTAAATTGCCACTTCATTGGACAGACCAGTGTTACAGATTGTTTTGTTTGTTAAATTAGCTTGGCAGAGTCTGTTAAATATATTGGATTCTTCCAAGCCCCATTTCCCTCACATTTTTCTGTATGCAACTATTTAACCCTTTTTACTGGCATCATCATTTAAATTAAACAAATGTTTTATTATACATGATCCTTCTAAGGAACAGATACGGAAAATAAAGTGAGAATGAATAGAACAGAAAGAAGTTTACTTGCATGGTTTGCTAATTGTTAATAGTCAGTTTTAATTAATCTTTCAGACTGTTATCATGTAAGCAATTTAAGTTTTATGATGATTTCTACTTATACTGAATGCCACCAACTTACGAAAGTTTTGGTAAATTGTAAGTTTACCCAGTATAGATTTCTAATTGCATTTTGATTAAAAAACTTCAATTTGGCACAATTTTTACAGTGTGTTTTAAAATTCATAAAACAGAGAGCTAAACACTTTAATACAGTATACTATTAGGAGTTTGAAAGCCATCAGCTAACAGCATACGCCTTTTCCTTATATTATGTGAGCTGTCGGATACATAATATGATAACATCTTCACTTTAATATAAAAGTTTATATCGATTTGTTACCTTACAAAAGTCCTAGAAAAATTGTTGTTTTGCTTTGTAACGATGCAATAAATCTCTTCTTCAATTATGATCAACCTTTTTCAGCTTCAACAAACTTCCAAAGAATTGCTTACTTATTTGCTTTGTGAGGAAAACAAATCTGGCATGCAGTGAGTTATCCTGGAGTGATTTATGTCAAGCAGTAGCCATGTACACTCAGTTCCACAGTTTGTGCTAACAGCCATTGTTGGACCAGGCATTTCTCCAAAGCTCATGAGTTAGGGAATGGTAATTATAGTAAGTCGTATATTATAAATAATGCATGTATGTTCCCCATGAGCTATGTGGGATTTCGGCCCATTTGCTAGAACATAGCTGCATAATGATTTGTTTGGATTTTGTTGCAGATGATTGATAGTGCAGAATGTTGGCAATGATGTAAATTACTGTTGGGCTGCCTTGAAAATTTCAGTACAAGTGGTGATTTCTTCTCTTTTTCTGTGTGCTTGTCTAGTCTCGGCAGACACCTGAGGGTGAGTTCCTTCCCCTTGACCAACTTGAACTGGATGTAGGTTTTAGTACAGGGGCAGATCAACTTTTTCTTGTTTCCCCCCTCACAATTTGCCACGTGATCGATGCCAAAAGCCCCTTTTATGACCTATCCCAGCGAAGCATGCAAAGTGAACAGTTCGAGATTGTCGTCATCCTAGAAGGCATTGTGGAAACAACTGGTGAGTAAAAACATGGATATGTCATCAAATTTCTTTGTTCCATAATAACATTATATTACATGCACAATATCTGTCATGAATTGGTCGAAATGTCTCCGTTCACGATAATGAAAGTAATGACTTGTCTCTTATGTCTTCGTAATATTAAGTTGATACCACTTTGAAAGTGAAGATTACTGTTATGATGATTGCATATGTAACGATAAGTCAGGAATACTGCAAAAAAAAAAAAAAAGAAAAGAAACTGAGATGACTCCTAGAAATGATTATGATATTCTAGTTTAATTGCAAACTTGGATTTCCTATAATCATAATTTTTCTTTAAAGATTTAAGGTTAAGATAAATTCGGGGTAATTAGTGAGCTGCCGAAATGCAGCATGCATATTCTTGCCTTGGGGATGGTGTTTCGGGTGTCATTGGTAGAGCTTTGATATGCTACTATGTGCAACCTCAGTGGAAAATTCCCTGTGTGTGTCTGTGCTAAAACAGCATTTTAATTTCAAAGTGGGTCAGTAGATTTCCTCAGCTGAACCTTGACCAAAAAAATTTTTAAAAGAGGTTTTTCTTCTTTTTCTGCTTTGGTATAGCTATGTCCTGTATGTCATTCCTTAAGATGCACTTTAATATTGGTATGTCCCAAATAGTCACAGTTTGCTGCATTGTGAGGAGAGACAGGTTGCAAAGGAAATAAACAAGAAATCGGAGCACATTATTTGGGGTCTGAGTATTGCCCAGTGATTTGGAACCTACTACATGCCTGAAACCAATATAATATCTAGATGAGCACGCATGCATGTGCACGCACACACACACACACACACACACACACACACACACACACACACACTCACACACGTAATAAGTGCAGGTATACATGTATGTGTGTGTATCTTGAATTTTGCCCTTTCTACAAGTAATGAAAAAGCAAGAAATATTTTAGCTTTGAGTTTTTTCTACCAATGTCATTCTCCACCTTAAGATGCTAATTATTATATATAAACTATAGGAATTTTGAAAGTAACATTGGCAGTAATGTAGACATGTTCAAGCTTTATACTAAGATTGGAAGTGTTACATAAAGAAAAAATTTCCCATCCTGGCATAAAGTTTTGTCCAAGGAGCAAGGGAAGGCAGGCTCTTATAATCTTTGAACATTTGTCACAGACCACTGTTTAAATTTTGGGCAAGATACTTAATCTCTATAAGCTTCTTTTCTTTCTCTATAAAGTAAGAATGATGTAATAACCACCCCAAAGCTGCATGTTGTATTACTATTATTTTATTATTAGTGTTTCAGTTTAAAAATCAAAATTTTTAAGGACAGTGAGTAAAGATTTAACTTATCAGTCTATGTCTGGAATTTGATTTCTGTGGACTATTTTGTGGTTTAAATCCTCCAATTATGTTTTTAATTTAAAATTGAAATGATGTCGTGGTATATTTTATTTAATAAATATTTATATTTAGTTTTTACTTCAATAAATCTTTATATTTCAATTTCAATTTTTATAAGGTTTCATCTATTGAAATAATATATTGTTAGAACTTAAAACAGCAGATGTTGTGATTTTTATTGATTTATGTTTTATAGCATATGGTTCTATCTTTGACACATCTGTTTACTAGTTACTTATTGTTATTCTAATCACTGACATGAGTGAAGTTTCTGTTTCACTTGACAGTCTTCGAAATTTTTCATTAGGCCAGTCAATTGATAGATTGATCGATGGATCGATCCATCCATCCATTTTTTCCTGTTTATCCCTAGTTGGTTTGTGTTCCTGAAGAATGAGAAAATTTTTCAAAAGAATCATGGTACAATTAAAAAAAATAGGAAATTTAACAATGTTAGAATGCTGTCATTTAGCTCAGGGTCTATGTTCAAATTTCATCTGTTCTAGTAATTTCCTGCATAGCTACCTGGGCACCTCCCTTCAACATCAGTTTAAGGATTTTGCCCTTCATTTGTTTACTTGTCTTCTTAGTCTCAAGATGGAATACTTCTTCAACTGTACTATTGTGTTCTTGTCCTTGATGTACCGGAAGAGTATAGTCCAGGTATTCTGTAGAACATCTCTCCATTTGGGTTCATTAGAGGTTTCCTTGTTCATTAATCTTTTCAGTTTTGGCTTCTACATGGGCATGTTAAGAGAATAATAACATGTTTTGAAAATATTGTTTTGAAAATATACCTGTGTATTAACTGATTTTTCTTCATCAGATTTCAGAAGAATTTGTTAATAAATAATGTCCTACATAAGGTCTTTAGGAGTTTTGTACATTAAATTATTCATTAAGAGTTCAGATTTTAACATTTCCTCCCCTGATTTTTGTTTGTTTATTTGTTTTGTTTTGCTTTTTTTTTTTTTTTTTTTTTTTTTTTTTTTTTTGGTAACACTGAACTGGCAGAGAATACTTTCCATAGAGTGTGTGAAAACTTGACTAGAGACTGAATTTCTTATTTTGAGATTGCCTTTTATGGAGAAGAGATTAAGGTCTGCTTCCTCTTAGCCTCTTAATTAAGTATGTTTCTAGATCTTATATAGCAAGACAAACAGTAAAAACATTACGCATAATTTTAGAGTTATTTTGTGGAAAATTTGTCTGACATTTTGTTTATGTATATGCCCTAATTAAATCCCACACTGTTCAAATTCTGTAAAATCTGCCTATATTTCCAGACCTCCCTGAGGTTAGTAAAAATAAGATAAACATTTTTATGTCATTTTGATCATTTATATCTTCACTGAGATGTATTTAGAGTCATCGTCATGGGTGTTTCTTCCTTTGTCCTTCCATTCACGGTCAAATTTACTTTCTCATATATTTTATTGCTTAGAATAAGATAGATACGATATTTTGGGATGTTCTGAGAGAGAAGCAATATAATTTTTATCTCTCATGTTTTTTGGTACACAGTCTGATGAGTAAACCATATACTCAGTGTTACTTTCCATCATATTTAGCATTAAAATATAAGTGCCTGTCATTCATTCATTCATCAAACAAATAATTGAATGTATATTGTGTGCTTGCTAGTATTTGAAATGCTGGTCATATGGTGGTGGCTAAGACAGGCAGAATCCCTTACCTCACGGGGGTCATATTAAATGGGGGAGGTGTATGGCAAAACAAGAAAAATAAGCAAGATGTTATGAGGTAAAATGTGTCAGGAATAAAACAGGTGATGGAATACAAAACCAGGTGATGGGATAAAGGGTGCATCTCGGGGCACTTAAGGTTGACAGAAGAGTTCTCTCCGAGGTGACACTTAAACAGAGGCCTGACTGTCAAGAAGGCCCTCCTAGGCCTGTCTGGGGGAACAGCATAGCAGTCAAGGGTTCTAAGTTAGGAATCAGCTTGAATTATTCCTAAAGGGAGGCAGAGGTGGTTGGAGCAGAGTGAACAATGTGGGAGTAGAGTGAGAGGTCAGAGAGGTGGAGGGGCCACCTCTGCCCTACAAACAACTGTATTGTACCAATGGGAAGTGTTGGGATTTGATTAAAAAGCAAGGCGTGTGCTTATCTGGTAGAGGAATAATTTAGGAACCTCAAACTTTGTGTAATAAACAAAATACGTTTTTTTTCTAGTAGGTTCTCTTGTAGTTTATTTAAAAATGAGTGACCCTGGGGCACCTAAGTGGCTCAGTCAGTTGAGCATCTGGATCTAGATTTTGCCTCAGGTCGTGATCTCATGGTTCGTGAGTTCGAGCCCTACATAGGGCTCTGCACTGACACTGTGTAGAGCCTGTTTGGGATCCTCTGTCTCTTTTTTTTTTTTTTTTTTTTTTTTTCCCAAAGTTTTTTTTTATTTATTTTTTTTGGGACAGAGAGAGACAGAGCATGAACGGGGGAGGGGCAGAGAGAGAGGGAGACACAGAATCGGAAAGAGGCTCCAGGCTCTGAGCCATCAGCCCAGAGCCTGACGCGGGGCTCGAACTCCCGGACCGCGAGATCGTGACCTGGCTGAAGTCGGACGCTCAACCGACTGCGCCACCCAGGCGCCCCAGGGATCCTCTGTCTCTTGTCTCTCTCTCTGCCCCTGCTCTGATCACGCTCTCTCTCTCAAGATGAGTAAATAAGATTTAAAAAATGAAAAACAAAAATGAGTGACCCTAATGTCTTAGAAATGCATAAAACTTTAGACAGTTACCACTTTTTTTGTATTAGTGGTAATGTCCAGCCCACCTTCCCCAGCATGCCCTCGCGCGCGTGCACACACACACACACACACACACACAGAGTAACAAAGTTGCTCACTTTGTAGCAGTCCTCTGATAAGAGTCTTCTGGTCTCATTTAGGTTTTGCTTCTTCCCATTCCTGTAGTTTCCGCAGGAGTGATGGTGGTGGTGGTGAGAAATGAGAATCTTTCTAATTTCCTTGAAAGTTTTAGCTTTTGGCTCAGAACTCACAATAATTACTTTCCCCACTTCCTTGGAAGTGCCCCTCAGTGATAAGACTCAGGCATTTTTGCCATCCTTGCTACAAATGAGTTAGATTTTCACTCCCAACGAGGAGCATGAGATTTGCCTCTTCATTAATAACCTTTGCTTCTTTGCTAGTCCAGCAAATTTCTAAAACCTGTGTTACGTCTCCCTCTTGCTCCCTCTGCTGCTTTTCCCAGGAGAGAGAGCGCTGCTAGAGGCAAACAGCATTGCAGATTTGGCTCATTAGAACTGGATGCTTTCAAACTTCAATCTGCTCTCTGCTGCTATTTGGCAGTCTTTTTAATTGTCTTTTCTGTACTCCCAGGCTCTCTCCCTGTGGGAGCTATTTTAGACCTTTTCTCTCTTACCATGCCCCCAGTCCCAGCTGTCGTATCCTTTCCTTGGCATATCATCTCCACCTATTCTATCAAAAAGAATGTGATGCTTCAATTTTTATACATTTTTTTTACTCTCCTTATCCTTTTCTCACAATTATCTTCTCTTTCTGGGTGTCTGTGGGGAAAAGTGTCCTTCTTCTTGTCTAAAACCATCTCCTTTACAGCTAGTTCTGC